TTAAAAAAAAAAAACAGAAACAGTGTTTTTTTTTCCAGAAAAAACAGTAACAGTTTTATTTTCAGAAAAATAGAACAGTTTTATTTTCAGAAAAATAGAACAGTTTTTTTTTTTCCAGAAAAACAGAACAGTTTTATTTCAGAAAAACAGTAACAGGTTTTTTTTTCCAAAACAGAAACACTTTTTTTTTCCTAGAAAAACAGTAAGTTTTATTTCCAGAAAACTGCTACTGTTTTTTTTTCCCAAAAAAATGTTTTTTTTTTATTTTCAACAACAAAAGTTCAGTTGTTTTTGATTGTAAAAATATATATTTTAAGTATAGATTTATAATTGGAATTAATAAAAATTGCTACTAAGCTTTTGGCCAAATCAACAATTATTAGAATTATGATGTGAGCAGTATAATTATGAGTGTTGTAATCTAAAATTTGAAATAAAATATGCAAACAATAGTTAGATCATATAACATGCAATATGAATAAATATAGAAAATGTATAAACATGTAATCTAAATAAATTAAATTAATCGATTTGGAATGAGTTGGTCTGCGAGTTCGAGAGGCGTGTGATCACTGTCCTAAAGCAGCTGAGCCTCCTCATGTGAGAGTACTGACGGACATCAGTAACTCCAAGATCCAATCCAGACGCTCGCAACAGCACCTTTTCAATAGTCACGTTCACTAGAAAGTTAAAATGAACTTGACTCAAATCGAGTTGCCCAAAAATAAAAAAATGATAATTGAAAAGAAAGGTCAAGTATTAAATAAATAGTTGAAAAGGTAGGCAAGTGTACATGATGAAAGGAGGAATTAGAGAGTCTCCTGGAATGAGCAATAAGACAGACACTTGGAGAGGATTTCATTATTTTCACAAAAGCTATCTCAATAGCCTTTTATATAGTGAATTGTGTGTATAACGTACACATGAACTATAGCTATAAAACCAAATTTAAGGTCAATAAAAATTATTTTTTAATATACACATTAAATAAGACCAAAAATTTGCAATTGAAATTTACTATTTAAATATAATTAAAATAGAAATTTAATAAAAATTTTAACAACTTAATTTAATTTTTACACATATCTCAAACCTCAACTACCTCATCCGTTATGCAAACATCAGAGAGCCACCCATTCCTGTCACAAGAGTGACGCCTTAATCAGTGCTCCTCACAATGATACATCCATCAAAGCTTACTTTGGGGCGCTATGAAGAATGTATTCTCCTATAAATTGTAAGCACCTCCTACATATGAGGAGCATGACACACATCTCAGCACACTACACTCATGAGCAAAAAGATTTTCTGACCACCATCGTCATTTCCAGCGGAGTAGGTCACTCAGACTGAACTACCTAATTTTTGTATTTGCATTGAGTCCTCTTTATTTCATCATTTAATTGATTTTTTATAAACTCACTTTTATACATCATCGAATATTATTTTACACCAAGGAAAAAGCCAAAGGCAAATACCAACGAAGAAATTAACTTTGGTACTCCGTTGAACCCAAGATTCCACGACTATACCAGAACCACCACTGCGATACCACCACCTAATCTAAATCTACCACATCTGCTACCCCAATCTAAACCCCCAACTGAAACACAACTTAAAAGCACCACCGACCTTCCCCTCCTCTCTCCAACACACACACTTGCAACTCCCCAACACAGTCTCAACTTGAATCACCCACCTGTTAGAATATAAGTACACAAGTTCAAGTGTAAATATGAAAATACAACCCTAAGAGTTGTTCAAATAATAATAGAGACAAATTATAAATCTAGATATCCTAAGTTTGAATCTTAATAATTTTTTTCAAGGCAGGTTATAAGAGATTTTATCCTTCATGAAAATCCTAATTCCAATGTGGATGGTATGTGTTTGATTAAAATGAAGAAAAAATTAGTTGATGTACGCATAAGCTGACCAAGACAACTCTGATTGTTGAACAAAATATATATATATGAAAATACTTGTAAAAGAACTACAATAATTCCTATTGAAAACAAAATAATAAAATAATTTTAAACAATTATCACTGCTTAACCAAAACTTTTTTTTTTTGTCAGAAATCTTAACCAAGACCTAAATACCATAAGATTAGTGCACATTGGATAATTACGGCCACTCAATAGAGGCTTTTGCTAAACTAGAAGTGCATTTGCACGTGAAAATTTTTATTAAATATTTGATAAAATATATAAAAATTTAATTATATAGTTAAATTAGATATTATTTCATGTTTATTATATTAATTTAAATTGTTTGAATTGTGAATGAAGAGAAAAAGATACATATATTGATTTTTTGGCACTAGAGATGATATTGTATCGATAAAATTATCGATGTGTATTAATATTTGAATTTTGAAAAAAAATAATGGTTTTTATCTAAAAGTTTTGCAAAGATAAAGAGATGCATATTATATATTAGATGTTAGTTTGTTATTTAAGTAGAGAGAGATATAATTGCTCTTTACTTTACATGGGTAATCTGGAATAAAACAAGATCATTGACAATAACAAGAAGGTGAAGGCCATTTCCTTCTTGCACGGCACACAAACCCACACAGATCTAAATTGGTGCAAGATCTAAATCAAATAAGAACTTTAATGCTAAACAAGTGGATCAACCACTTTTATAAATTGAGTAAGGCAGAGAGGTCTCATGTTCTTTCTAAAAGACTTTATCAATTATGACCACTAGGTTATATTGTTGAATGAGTCTCGGGTGGACTAGAGTAAAGAAGAAAAAGGTGGTTGTAGGTCAAGATCTCCAAAGTGTGCATGAGCAACGGGCATAGCCAAGTAAGGTGAGCATCAGAGGTGAACATATTACTGTAAATAAAGTTAAGCAGACCTTTTGAGTAAGGTGTCAATGGGCGAAGCTGTTTTTCTGAGTTTACGAGGTGAAAGCAAGTCAAATAACTTTAATTTTCCGCTTTAATAGAATAGATTCAAGAAGGCAGCTACTCTAGTATACGGAATAAGCCTAGGCTTGTGTAGATGTAGCCGCAAGCCAGCCTACACATGGTAATTTGTATATTTAAATACAAAAGTATCTTTTAGTTTTTATAGTTTTTTATCACGACAAAATAGTGAATTAAAAGTTTTTCATATTAATATAATTTAATCTCTTGATGAGTAGTTAGCTTTCCTGTCGAATTGTAACCCAATTTTTCCCTTGGGAATCCCCCTTATTCCAAGCACTAAGCATGATCCCTTTAGTACGCTGTTAGCTCGAGTTGGCTTGAAAATGATAAGGTAGTTTGGGAAAGGAATTTTTGAGAAGTTCGTAGATTCCCTAGGAATTCAATTCAATCCTTTGCCCTCACGCCAACTTGCGTAGTATAGATATAGATATAAATAATTAGTGTTTCTGTCCACCTATTATATAATTTTTTTTAACAAATACACACAAGGGATACATGTAGATTTTGAATATATTTTATTCAACATAATATTGTATTCACAAACTTATTTTATAGTTTTATTGTAATCCTCGAGATGTTAAATCGCGAATGATTTTTGATTAAAAAAAATCTAAATTGCTTCTAATAAACTTATCTTTTTAATTTTTTTTTCAATAATAAATCATTCATCATAAAATAAACTGAGATCGGGATTCAAATGCCAAAAAAAGTGTTCATATTAGATATGGTTTGATGAGCCTTTAGCCTGTATAGAGCTTTGCAGGAGCAAATCTTGAGTTTTGTATCACATTTTTAATTAGCTTTAATTTTATATTCGGATGTCATATTGTAAATGTGATCTAGCTAATTCACCAACTACTCCTGGTCACTATAGTTCGGGTTAATTTAAGTCCATGTCTCATAAAGAACAAAAGTAGGTGGATCTTAGAAGATGTGAGAAGTATCGAACATAAGACCTTTTATTTACTAAAAGATAGACTTGATCATTGTATCACCTCTAAAAATTTAAATATGATCTAATTCACAACAACGTTTATTTCCTTTTCGATTAATGCTACTTAAACTTAAAAATACAAATTAATCACTATCATTTATTTAATCGTAAAATCTAATATTTATTTGAATCTACTACCTATCGAACGATTGTCGTTATTCACCGTTTATAGTCTAAATAATATTCTCATTTTCTTTAGAATATCGTGCGGCAAGCTCGCTACCTCAAATTTGATTCCAATATTAAAAAAATAACGATTCCACTGGGGATCGAACCCAGAATCTCTGGTTCCGTAGACCAGCGCCTTATCCATTGGGCCATGGAATCGACTTGGAACGAAGTTTCAAAAACTAATATAATTAACAATTAACTTGTGGAACCATCATTGTGGGCCCAATGAGTCGTTCTGCCTCTCCGTTCAGTCTCTTTCAAGTTTCAATTTCCGAGTTAGGTGAATAACACTTTGTACACACAAAATTTTTAAAATTTTAATTTATACTAAAAGGTTCAAAAATTTTATTACACCCTTAATTACATAAAAAAAATGTCAATGTCATCTAAAACCAACACATCCATGGCTCTTGTTGACAATATTTTTCTATAATCACAACAAAATTACTTGTATACTGGACAAACTTAAACATTTACACACGGGATGATTCAGTGGTTAAATTTATTTTTCTTGTAAGTAAAATGTTTTAGCTCGAGTTAAGATGAACGACTCATTGAGGCACAAGCCTGAATACTAACAAAAATAAAAATAAAAATTAGTAAATTTATTCGACGATTTTAAATAGATTCATTCAACGACTATGAATATTTCTCTCAAAATTATTTGTATTAAATTTTTTTCCTCCCTAAAAATTCATCACTTTTCACTTATATTGTATCATACTTTGGCTTACCCATAATTTTTTATATAATTAAAAATACAATGTGAGAATTTTGATTTTAAAAGGTTTAAAGTGTCATTTATCTCATGAGTAATGCGCTTGTGCCCAAGTCGAGAAGGGGTCAACATTTATGAGTTGAAGTCACTTAGATCATACTCTTCTTCTCCGCCAACCTCCTTCCTATCCTAAGCAGAAACAGAGGCTTGCATACATAGCTTTAGAGGGAGAGAGTTTTGTATATTATCTCCGTGGAGGATGAATTTGAATAGAGCATAAGCCAAAGATAGTGGGAATATTGTCATCATAGAAAAATGGGTAGGCAACAAAGTGAACAACAGAAGCAAAACCACTCTCTGAGGAGCAAAGCAGTCCACTTTGTCTCTGATCTCACCACCGTCTTTCTCAACCCCATCTCTGATAAACCCTCCAAGCCTACTCCTATTCCTCCTACCTCTGTAAGTCTCTCTCTCTCCATTCATTTGATTATAATTTTGTTGATTTTTATATCAATACACGTATTTTGTGTAGTCTTCCAATCGTAATAAGGGTTTTCTGATCAGGGTTTTGTTGTTCCTCGTTTTGTAGAGCTATCTGTCAATTCTTGAAGTTCATACTCTGGGAATTTGTCCTGGGTATCTTCAGTGTTTATTATTTTATCTGAAGAACGACTATTGAATTAGTATGCAGCTTTCGAAATATAATGCTGGAATTTTCAGAACGATTGTTTGGAATTATTTTGATATAATTTAGCCCATGATGGCTTTACATTAGGTGCTATTAGGGTTTTAATGCTCGATGTTTTTCGCAGGCATCTTTAATCATTTTTATTTATGCTGATATTACTAACTAATTAGAAAATTGGGTAAGCTTAACCCTGCATAATTGCCAATTGCAAGCCTAATTTCACCAATTGCCTTAGATGGGTTCATTTCAAAGAATGAATTTGAGAGTTTGTAGTCAAATTTTTCATTTCTCCCACTTTTTACTTTGTTATCTCTCTTCCTTTTCTGATAGGGAAAAATAGCTAATTATCCTGATTACTACTAAAGTTAAGTTAATTGTACAATGTATTTGGGTGTAATGGTCCATTAAAATTAGATGATGTAATTCCCACATGTAATTCAAAGAGTGTTAAGTCTTCATTTTAAGTTGAAAATCTTACAATACGCCCCTTATCACCCCTCTCTGCTCACTACATTCAGTTTTAATTGTCTGGTAACTTTTCGAACTTATAAGTAGTGGTCTTGTCTCTTGTATTTTGCTAGGATGATGAGACTGAGCCAAAAAGAAGTCAAGTAGAATCGATTTCAGAGGATGATTATGGGGATTTAGTTGATGGGCCTGATACATCTTCTTTTACTGCATTTCTCTATTCTCTACTGTCATCCTCAGAATCTGGAAGTAAATCAAACTTCGAGGGACTGAATGAGTATCAAGCAGATAGTCAACTGACGTCTGAAGTTATAATGAAAGAAAATAGTGGGAAGAAGAGTTTATTTTCGAGGGGCAAACAGTCCCTTGGAAGAGCTATTTACCAGGCTGCTAGATTAGGTGGGTATCGACATCAAGCCTCAGCCAAGGGCAGTTCTGATATGATGCTCGATGACAGCAATAATTCTAAGTTTTCTGAAGATGAGGGTATTGATATGCAAACTTTGAATGAACCTGTGCCTTTGGACAATCTTCCAGAAACTTCTGAACCCTCATTGCTTCTGTCTGAGAAGACACGCGGTGCTCTTTATGATGCACTACCAGCACTAGCTCAGGGGAGGAAATGGGTATTGCTATACAGGTATCACAACATGAATTGTTCGTTATGAATTGTATGTGAATCTTTTGCATTATGGGTTTCCATTAGTTTTGATATCATTTGACTGTTGGTAACTCTTTTAATCTGTCTATTATCCTCTGCAGTACATGGAGGCATGGCATTTCACTTTCTACTTTGTATAGAAGAAGCATGTTTTGCCCAGGCCTCTCTCTGCTGGTAAATTCTTTATCTCTACATCTATCAATGACTTGTGTGTTTTTTGTTTATGACGATGCATCTGAAAACAAAATATTATTTTCCTTTGAAGCACTAATGATATACTGTTCCCTTGGATGTCATAAACTTATTTTTTTCTCGTCTTTTCGATTTCGAAGTCAATTTGAAATGTCGGTATGTCACTCAGAGCTAATGGATGTCACTCTATATTCTTTTCTCATCTTTTCGTTTTCGAAGTCAATTTGAAATGTCAGTATGTCACTACGAGCTAATGGATGTCACTCTCTATTCCTTGTAAGATAATACTTCCTTTTGGAGTAATCAAAAGCACAAATAATGGAAATGATTCATATTTGCTGAATTATGTGAGTAACCCTTTGTTTTGCAAGTTACTTGAAACAAAATAAACATGTGCTTGTTATTTTCATTTAGAGGGTATTATTACATGCTTAAATGTAATAATAAAAAAAAATAAAAAGGGTATTATTACATATCCTATTTAATCTGAGCTGCCCTGGAGCAGGTTCAAGCCACTTCTGGTAAGCTGGAGTAATACCTGAATTTTCCACTATCATAATGCTGTAAGAATCTGAAATCCTGACTTTGTCATAGTGCCCTGACCATGGATGCGAACAAACAGTCATGTTACATGATTATGCAGTCTATATGTCGAAACTTGCAGTATTTGAAATAATGTGCTTTGTATGTATTCCCTTTCCACATACCAAATGGGTTATCAGTCTCCCCTGCAGCACTATGTTGTTGTTTATAGCCACAACAATGATTCTGGTTCCCATGACTGTAAGAGCTTTGTGTAATTTTTATTATTTGTAGTATTGCTGATCAATTGTTCTGAGCGTTCGTGTAGCGAGTCTTGGGATGAACAATAGAGAAATCAACGAATCTGCGTTTGTACAAAAACTGGCTGTCTGAATAATCCAGGTGTTACCAATCACACTTCATTAGCCTTCAAATTTTATGCTATAAAAGTGGGAGTTCAAATTCAGTTGGTTAATGAGGTCAAATTTTCCAATCAGTACTCTGATTAGATGGGATGATAAGAATAAAGTCTACCCCACTAAGTGTTTTTTTTTTTTGAATTTTAGCGGCATTAGGTTTACTGAGCAGAATTTATTTTCCCAGTATCTACTAAAACAAGAAAGAAGAAAAGGTGACCCAGTTTTTGTTGTGCTTGAAAAATCCTTTCGGTTTCGTTCTTTTATGTGTGGAAGTGTTGGACTTCTTGACCTCCTCGATTACATTTTTTTAAAATTTCATCTGGATGACCCCCTCCCCCCCTCTTTTTCTTAAAAAAAAAAACAGAACAAAACACCCCAACCTCTCATGTTTCAATTGTTCAGGTTGTTGGAGACCGCAAGGGGGCTGTATTTGGTGGCTTAGTTGAGGCACCCTTAAGAGCAACAAACACGAGAAAATATCAGGTGATGCCAAATGTCATTTCTTCTGCCAATATTCCGCAGGTTCTTTGTCTCGTTTTTCCCTTCTTCTCAATACTGATTTTTAAACAGGGCACCAATGCTTCATTTGTATTCACGAATACACCTGGCCAGCCTGTTATATTTCGTCCCACAGGTACTAATCTTTCCAACTTTACTTTCCTGGCAACTGCACTTGGGCATTCATCTGTTTTGAAAACATCAAAAGTGTCTCCTTTTTCTTTTCTTGTTTTAAGAATGCATTATATGCCTTTTTCTATGCAAATGATAACACATTGTGTGGGACATGATACTTGCTATTTATGATGTATTGCTTTGAGAAATTGTAGCACTGTAAAATATCAGTTACTTTTGATGGATCGTCTATTTGTTGTATTCTGGATATGAAACTGGAACACGTTGCTTGCGCTTCATATTGCTGTCAGGTTTACCAAATGTGTTTTTGTCATTTATGTTTTGTGTATTGTGTCAGATTTATAGAGGAGAAAGTCATGTTTCTCATGGCTGGTTCTACAAAAATCACAACACTGACCAACTTGCATTTAAGAATTAGAAGCGTATTAAAATGCATTTTGAGCTTTTAATGCAGTATGCAAGCATCAGCTTTGTGCTGGCTTTAACTATCTCATGTTGGTAGGCAGTTTCTCCCTGCCTTGCCAGGATCAAATCTCTGTAACAGTTAATGACTGATTATGTATGTGCATTGTTATTTTTTTTCTCTTTTCCAAGTGCTACAGCAGAACATTGTAATACTCTTTGTCTGGGGGATATTTGAGGCCAAAATTGCACCACTTTATTGTTTCCCAAGCATCCTTTCTGCATGATCTCTATTCTAATGCCTATGAAATTTTGACTCGTATATTTATGGGAAAAAATATTGAGACAAAACTTTGTTGAGTTGTAGTAGTAGTTGAGTGAGTTGAGTATATTTTATGGAAAATTACTGCAAACATTAACATCGCAAGGGTTGGTTGTGATTAAAGAGGTATTCCATCAGGTTGAAATTCTTATTAATAATGGGTGCAAAAAGGAGGGATAAGAAAAGAAAATACACGATAAATCTAAAAACTATTGGGTAAATTAAAAACCAATGCCCCAAACTCATATGTTTTGTTTGTAGTATTTGATCCGTGATGATCATCCGCCAGTCCTGAAAGGGTTCTGGATTTCTTCTTTTTTTTTTTGGGGTTTTTAGG